CGTGAAAGGCGAATATGCTTGTCGTAAAGGGCGACTAACGGGATCGGGTGGTCAGGCTCGCTGACTTGGTTGATGCATGTCATCGTATCCCAATTGCGTGGATTGATGCTCATGATGTCAATCACAGGATTATCTTGTCCATACTCGATTATTTACAGACCGCCGTCATATAGCTGGAATAATGCGGCGTTAAACAAAAAAAAAAGAAGAAAAAAAAGCTTCACTCGTTATGTCACATTCGTATGTGTAATGCAAGTATTCTCCGTGACATATATTCATGCACTGGAAGGACAGGCTGTCTTTCCAACTGAAAGTTTGGAAACAAAATGGAACGAATGAAGATACCACACTTGATCTCTGGTTCCTGTGTGTCCAGCATGATTGAACATTACCTTGGATTTGATTAAACTCCATTGGGTTGCCTTGGGTTGGTCGGAAAGATGAATTCCTTTTTTCAGTGATTGCTCACTGCATTTATGATGCGACAATTATCCGTAAGGGCAACATAAAGTCACAGCGGCAACGTTACGTCGGTGCATCAGTTGATGAAATTGCCAATGAAATGGTTAACTTTAAAAACTTGCATCATTTCCAATATCAGTTCAATTGATGTCTCTCGTCTTCGTAGTGATTCGACCCGTGAAGATCCGGGGTAGAATAGATCTTCAGCAACCCATGCTTGCCGTATAAGGCGACTATGCTTGTCGTAAGAGGCGACTAACGGGATCGAGTGGTCAGGCTCGCTGACTTGGTTGATGCATGTCATCCCATTAGTCGCCTGTTGCGGCAAGCATGGGCTGCTGAAGACCTACTCCACCCCGGATATTCATGGTTCTAAACTGCATTGCATATCGATGTTCTTTTTTGAAATCATATAATCATAGCATTGTGTTCGTATTGGTAATACGTTCGTCATTCTCAGCAGGATATATGACATTTGTACCTTGTCTGACAGCGGGGAACGTGGGGCAATTGCCAATTCAGTAACCAACCACACTAGCTTACTGCACTGTAATGTATACACTAATCTATGCTGTATACAGAGTGCATACTGAGTGGGTGAGATGGTAAAACAGATGAATATATATTTAGATATATCAGCAATACCATGGCGGTGTCCAACAGATATGCGCTTCACATATTGTACCCACCTAAATTTAGATATATAGACTTGTCTGTTGTCAGTATACAGTTATTCGTAAGTGTATGACTTTGGTAATTTGACCTTTGAACTGCGGGTCACGAATACACCTACTAATTTAATATATACTTCTATGCATCATCGTTGTAATTTTCCTCTCTGAAAAGTTATCGTAGATTGTAGATTTCAAAGATATTTGGTCACATTGATCCATGCTTGCCGTAAAAGGCGACAATGCTTGTCGTTAGAGGCGACTAACGGGATCGGTCGGTCAGGCTCGCTGACTTGGTTCATGCATTCATCGTATCCCAATTGCGTAGATCAAAGCTCATGATCTCAATCACGGGACTGTCTGGTCCATACTCGATTATTTACAGACCGTCGTCATATAGCTGGAATATTGCTGAGTGCGGCGTTAAACAACAAACAAACAAAATGTTGTGATACGTGGGTTCAAATAGTATCATATGCAGCTTTTCAGTCATATCTTGATCAAGTTTTATATCATAATGAAGTCAAATCAGTTTGAAAGAGAAGAGTATACAACTTACACGGCATGTTTTGAAATAATGTGGTTACTAGTTCTGTCCCACGCACCAAATGTAAGACGCCCAGAGATATCAGGACCCGTGAAGATTCGGGCTAGAATAGGTCTTCAGCAACCCATGCTTGCCGTAAAAGGTGACTATGCTTGTCGTAAGAGGCGACTAACGGGATTGGGTGGTCAGGCTCGCTGACTTGGTTGATGCATGTCATCGATCCCAATTGCGTGGATCGATGCTCATGATATTAATCACTGGATTGTCTGGTCCAGACTAGATTATTTACAGACCGCCGTCATATAGCTGGAATATTGCTGAGTGCGGCGTTAAACAACAAACCAACAACAAGAAGTTGTTTGAAAAACCAACACCAACGGTTTACAGTTAAAAAAACAACACATTTCCATGGTGTATGCAATATTGGTTTTGCACTTAGCCATGCTAGGATGCATCTAACACCTTCTAAGAGATCATTACAGAGCAATTTACGCGAAAGAAAAATTTAATGTAAAAGTCACCCAAAGCCTGAAGATGTTCATTTATGCATATGCTTGCTAAAAGTCATTGTATTAATGTACATGTAAGTGTGGTTGCACTTGACATCCAGGTATCAGAGTGCAAAGCTATTTCCTTTCATCTTGGATGTTAAATATATACTACTTTAATGAGCTCTTCAAACCGTCGGTGTTTTTCCTGTATCCCCCTTTCAAAGATTAAAATATTCGTTCATCCATAGAAACCAATGAGTGTGTTCCGAAGTACTTTGATGGTCAGGTTAAGTTCTACAGAAAGACATAGTGCAAAGAATAGACTGTCAATGAACCCGTGGTGGCTTTAAGATAAAAATTCGTTCAATGTATGGATTTGCGCGGAGTCGTAAAAATGCTTAACTTAATGCATTTATTGCAAAAACTGTGTATATTGTAGGACGCATTGGAGCCCAATGGTAATTAAACCAGCATGACATGACTTTCCGCGAAAACCTCGCGATTTTCAGCGATCCATTTATATTATTTTCACCACTATTTTGCCCCTTGCGCCCAGTGGAATTTGTTTGAGCGGATAATCGAGACTGATTGTTTTCTGGCGTTGACGGGTTATATTTATTAAGGTACCGCAGTGGAATTAATTAAAATTCTGACAATGATGTTTTGACAAAAAGTTCATACTACACCAGGCTGGGAATGTGTTGTGAGGTGAAATGGGGTTTACCGTCGCGTTCGCGATTATTTCAAGAGTTCACGGACTTGTGTGAGGCTAACAGACCCAGGGTACATAGCTGCAGAGACCGCCTCCGTGGTCTAGTGGTAGAGCGTCCGCCCGGAGAGCGGAAGGTCCGGGGTTCGATCCCCGGTCGCGTCATACCAAAAGACGTTAAAAGACGGTACTTGTTGTTACCCTGTCTGGCGCTCGGCATTAAGGGTCTAAAACAAGGACTGGTCGGCTCGGAGTCAGTATACTGTGTCTGAGTGGGGTTTTCATGTTAAACTGCGGCATGGTATCTCAGTGGGCTAGCACTATAAATCGGCATCAGTCCGGACTAGTACAAGCAGCCACACACACACACACATGCATGCACGTCGCTATATAAGTGCAATAATCTTGGACGGGACGTTAAACCCAATCTCACCTCACCTCACCTCACCTCACCTCACATAGCTGCAGAAGTGTATCCTAGCTAGGCATATTGTTTATATGTCACCTCTCTTGGGTAAAATACACTACGTATAAATAACATGACGTGGACTGAATTGCATTGAGGCGCATATGACAAAGTTAAACCAACTGAAGTTTTAGCATTTATTAACACGAGACAATAATCACCCAAGCTAAATCCTAAAGGCTTATAGTTAGCAATTACAAAAGGACGAAGTGTGTGATCGTCTGACACAAGTCATTTCGCCAACAGTTAAAGAGTTACATAAGAGTTGGTTGGTTGGTTTGTTGTTTAACACCGCACTCAGCAATATGCCAGCTATTTGACGGCGGTCTGTAAATAATCGAGTCTGGACCACACAATCCAGTGATTGATATCATGAGCATCGATCCACGCAATTGGGATCGATGACATGCATCAACCAAGTCAGCGAGCCTGACCTCCCGATCCCGTTAGTCGCTTTTTACGACAAGCATAGTCGCCTTTTACGGCAAGCATGGGTTGCTGAAGACCTATTCTACCCCGGAATCTTCACGGGTCAGTTACATAAGAGTACCTAGTGTGAATGAACGACAGCCACAAACACTTTAAAAGTAACAGTATTACACATGCGTTTGTCAAGGTCAACGTTACCAAATATCTTTGAAATCTGCAATCTACGATTTCTTTTCAGTGAGGAAAATTACAACGATGGTGCATACAAGTATAACATTAAATTAGTAGGTGTATTAATGGCAGTCGGTGTTTGAAAGCAAAGTCATACACTTACGAATAACTGTAAACTGACAACAGACAAGTCTATTTGTCTATATTTAGGTGGGTACCATATGTGAAGCGCATATCTGTGGGACACGGCATTGTATTGCTGATATATCTCAAAGGGGCGTTTTGGCATCTCACACACTCAGTATGCACTCTGTATACGGCAAAGATTAGTGTTTACATTACCGTGCAGTTAGATACTCAGAATTGTTACTGAAAAGGCAATTTTCCAACAGTTCCCAGCTGTCAGAAAAGGTTCGCTGACTTGGTTTATACATGTCATCGTATCCTTATTGCGTGGATTGATGCTCGTGATATTAATCACTGGATTGTCTGGTCCAGATTATATACAGACCGTCGTCATATAGCTGGAATATTGCTAAGTGCGGAGTTAAACAACAAATGCAGTTGATACTAACCTCAACGAGCCTATCTGATTGTAATATGAGAGCTATAACTATGAATGTGTTTTAGTCATCTCCGAGCAAACAGTTGCAACATAACCCTTGTATTATATATATTTTAATATTTGTTTTCATAATTAATAAGAAACTACAAATTATTTCATTAAAATTACTTTTTCAAACCAAAAACATATCTTTTTAAAAGCGTTTTGTTTTTATACATTGGTTTACGGATCCGCCAGCCCTCATGTTCTTGAATGTCAAATAAACTAAGATTTGCGATATTACACATTTTATATTACCGCTGAGCTCACAGTGCGGAATAATTAATGTTGTGGAAAAACGATCTTGCAAATCGGTCTTCACAACGAAAGGAAATTTTACGCAAACTTCGGAGCGACGCTTTCTCAGTGTGGAGAATACGATAGACGCACTCGATCATACAGTCAGTTATTATATTACCCGCTGAAATCACACTGTGAAATCGAGGTTCACTCACTTTCAATGCAAATGGCGGCAAGTTGCATCGGACGCAGACATGTCGTCTCCCAAGAATGTTGGATTGTTTCATGTGTAAGTGTTCAGTCATACGTTATCAAATAGTCAAAATGATTGTTTGTGAAGGGAAAGAAATCTCAGACTATTGGCAGTGCAGTGTTTAAGCTGGTTGACGACGACCGTATTGTTTCAAAGCTTCGATCAAGGTACGTGTCGCAGCCATGAAGACTGACGATATCATGGCTCATGACATCGTCAAGTTCTCATGAGACTGATACAGCGGTTTGTACGCCCGTTGATGTTTTACAAGGCGTTGGATACAAATACATACTTGTAGAAACTGCAACAACATCGCAGAAAAGAAGTGAGTTACCAGGGGAAAATATACATGCCCACCGAAGGTCAAGTACAAATGAGAAAAAGCTAAACGTTTGTTAAATTATCATTCGACAAAATGATGATACATAAAATATGGGGATCTATTCGATATAAAAGTACAAATATATTATGAAGCATTGTGTTGTAGGTGACGGCATCCTCTGGATAAATGATCAATTAGGGGTTTAACAATCTGTCGCTAGTCCTTTTCGGGTTGTAGTGAGTGAGTGAGTGAGTTGGGTTTAACGCCGCTTTTAACAGGATTCCAGTTATATCACGGCGTGTCAGCTTAATGTGGGAGGAAAGCCCGAAGTGATGCGGGTCTCAGACGTTTACCACTTCGGTGAAATCCACGAGCACGGGTATGGTGCTGACAAACCTAGAAACATAATCGGGGCGAACCGGGATTCGAACCCACAATCATAGGTTTCTGGCATGCCCAGGGGACGCAACTCTGCACAGCGAATCGCGGCGCCCTTAGACGACTGGGCCACTCGTGCCCCCTTTTCAGGTTGGAAATGCGGCCTGCTTTCCGCTTGATACTTCATGGGTGTGGAGGGGGCATCTTCGTTGACCCTGGATGGTCGCTCTTTCCTGACACATGTCTGGGGCGTGCCGTTAACGTGGTATAAAATGCCAATAAGACCGCCCTCCGTTTCATCCCACAGATGGGTCTGTGTTTTGATTTTAGCAAGTGTTTACTCACTGGCGTGGGGGGGCGGTCGGTCAGCCTGGTGGTTAAAGCGTTCGCTCGTCACGCCGAAGACCTGGGTTCGATTCCCGACATGGGTACAATGTGTGAAGCCCATTTGTGGTGTCCCCAGCCGTGATATTGCTGGAATATTGCTAAAAGCGGCGTAAAAACCATACTCACTCACTCACTCACTCACTGGCTTGGGGTGGGGTTCGGGTGTAATAATTTATGATATTGTTTAACAAAGGAATACTGCTTGTACCTTATTTTCCTGTTACAGTTTTATGTCAACTTATGTTCTGTTTTCATAGCCATTCTTTTACTTTCGAAAAATGTATAATATTTTTTTGCATTTTTAACAACTTGATTAATATTATGTTCAGATGAATAGATGTCCTTGAAACAGCTGGAGACAACACACAAGGGTCGACTAACCTTGAAGGGAAGAAACAATGATTTTATAGAGATAGATAAGCAACGCAAACGCCAAATTAACAGGTCCCCCGATGCGAATCCTTTATCACACAAATTTATTTATTCACTGTTAAATCTCATTGTTGAATATGGTCCTCTGTCATTCTCAAATTAATGAACATCTCTTGGGGCAAGACCTTGGACAGACGACAATCAACATTCTTCATTTTACTGCAATAACTGAAACAAGATGGCTTCAGTAAGAAAATAAATCATATTATTAAAAATATATTATATAGTTTTTCGTTCTTGGTTTTGCTTTTGACTGCTTGCATGTTTAATTGCAGTTGATTTGAGATATTGCATCACGTGAGGGCCGGTGTGGTTAGTGCAGATTGTCCTTAAACAGGTTATTCAAGCCACAAAAAGTGGCTTTGAGAAGTGTTACGTGTGGATCCACTAAACAGTTTCAATACATAACAAGGAGAGATCACACAACGATTTAAAAATAATTTTTAATACTGGCAGACTAATCAAGCTTCATATTATTCACAAACAGCAAACACAAGTATCAATCACAATAAAAACAGTCTTGCTTTATGCTGTAATATCCCATCATTTCCGAACAAGATCCAGTGAATGTTTCATGTAATCCATAATTCACCTTAGTTCGCAAATTGCCGACATGGCATACACAATTAAAGTTTCAAATCTTGCCAGCATGGCATGTCAGTTAACACCTAAACCCGACCTGGGAACTGACCACTGTGTCTTCCTGTCGAGGGGCGGTCGGGTAGCCTAGTGGTTAAAGCGTTCGCTCGTCACGCCGAAGACCCGGGTTCGATTCCCGACATTGGTACAATGTGTGAAGCCCATTTCTGGTGTCCCCCGCCGTAATATTGCTGGAATATTGCTAAAAGCGGCGAAAAACCATATTCACTCACTCACTCACTCACTCTTCCTGTCGAGCATTAGCTAGCCAAGCCACAATTGCATAACATCAGCCTTTACTTGGCTGTGAGCTTACCAGGGCTTACATATAGACAATGTGAAGTGACGTGTGCAATTGGTCAGTGTTGATCACTTGCAATCTGTACACAAGCAACATAATATATAAAAAGGTAGGAATATACATTTTCATGAAAACAAAGTACATTTAATATATTCTTCATGAAAGTAAATATACATATATAATGGATTCTCATAACCGAAGGCACAGGAGGAGATGCCGAACACGTCCTCTTTTTCTTCTATGTATGTGGGCTGTGGGGTAGTCTAGTGGTTTAAGCGTTCGCTCGTCACAGCGGAGACTCGGGATCGATTCCACACATGGGTACAATGTGTGAGGCCTATTTCTTGTGTCACCCGCCCTGATATTGCTTGAATATTGCTGAAAGCGGTGTAAAGATATACTCACTCGCTGACTCATCCAAGTATGCTGACGCGATTGTTGTGGGTGAGTCGCTGTTGTTGCCATCGAAGTGGTGTTCTGTTACAGGTCGGTCATTTTCTAACGTTGCCACAGCAACATGACCCGTTGTAGCAACGGGCTTTTTTGTTTAGAGCTACTATTGGTCGTGATGCCCGTGAAAGTGGTTCGCGAGCCATACTGATAAACGGTCGAGAATTATGTAATGATAATAATATTTCTGCAACCCCGACAGGAACCCAGTGTTTGTTTGTTGTTGTTTTGTTGTTGTTTATTTTTTGTGGGTTGGTTTTGTTTTGTTTGTTGTTTTTTGTTGTTGTTTTTTTTTGGGGGGGGTGATGATAATCTTGTACAACCTTGAACGGACCCCAGGGGTGGCCTGAGGATGTGGTTTGTGCTATGGTTGGTTGAGTGGCTTCGTGGAAGCAAGGACTGCATTAACATAATGTGGTGGGACGGTCAGAGGGAAAGCGTTCTTAACCTCTTCAAAGAAATTTTTTTATGATTCTTCTTCTGTTATGGTTTCTGCATAACATTCCTGCCAAATGCGACTTAAAGTTTGAATTACTTGTCCCTTTAGTTCGTCTTTTTCGTGTTTCCCCTTTAATTCTGTTAGTCCACTTCCACCTGTTAACCGGGGGCACGGGTGGTCCAGTCGTCTAAGGCTCCGCGATTCGCTGTACAGTTCCCTTGTTGCATGCCAGAAACCGATGATTGTGGGTTCGAATCCCGGCTGGCCCCGATTACGTTTCTAGGTTTGTCAGCACCATACCCGTGCTCGTGGGTTTCACCGAAGGGGTAAACGTCTGAGACCCGCATCATTTCGGGCTTTCCTCCCACATTAACCTGACACGCCGTGATATAACTGGAATACTGTGAAAAGCGGCGTTAAACCCAACTCACTCACACTCACTCCATCTGTTAACCCGTTTCTATGTTTTGATACTGTTTGTTGAATCCGTATTTGTGAAATACGGTGAAGTGTTTATATACTCGCTCGTTCAGTTTAGAATAATATGTCCAGCCATCGGATTGTACCCCATTTCAACATGTACTATATGTTCCCATGTTATTTTCAGGTGAACCATTGACTTGCCTTTGCATGTGTTTGTGATGAATGCCACCGGTGATGCAGGTTACGCTCACCATTTTGCAAACACCTGGTATGATCACTATTTGATACTATTAGTTATTTATAAACAAATGTCCATGATATTGTCGGGACTGATCAATCGACTCTTTAAGCAGAGATTATGGAAAGGATTTTGTCGATTGTTCCCGTATGTGTTCTCCCCTCGACTTCAGCATCTTAAGTTGAAGCTGTTAAGGAACACGTATTGCCCGCCTCTCATTGTCTTGATGAATTATCGTACTTGAGCGTTTGCCACTTTGCATAGTACAACCGATACACATATCAGTCAATCGATCAGAAACAGGTGATGGTAAACGACTATATTCAGGCTTGCATGCGTACAGTAACTGAAATATATTTATTACATTTATACGTTTTTTTTGTATTGCAGATAACATCGGTAGATGGTTGTGCCAACAAGAAAACCTGTATTGAAGTCATGAGTCTAAAAACGATGTGGATTTAAAAACCCAAATAAATTCATATTTCGTTAAAAATGTACTCCGTCTTTTTATTTCCCGAATATATACATCAAGATACACATTTCATGTTTATATACATGTTTAGATAATTTCAGTACATTTTGGACAGCGTTTTAGGGGAATAAATGAATAAATGAAATAAATATTAAACTTGCATATAAAGATAATGCCGTGTTCTATTTGACATGTATTGATCTTGTCGGGTGTTTTTATTGTTGAAACATGTTTTGCGTAGAAATGTGCTATTTCGTTCCCGCGGGTGAACACAATGTCAGAAAGTTGTGCTTTAGGATACGATTCGTTTTTGACAAGAGGTGTTAGGCTATCGCGCATTAAATTTCGGAATATTATCTCACAAATATTGTTTGCATCATGTTATATACAGTGGCCTAGTTGTCTCAGGCTCCGCAGTTCGCTGTGCAGAGTTGCGTCCATGTGGTTGAAAACCTGTCACATTTTTATTGGTTACCGCAACAAATTATAACGATGCAAATTTTATTGGGATCGCGTCTTGTTTGTAATTTGCGTTGCTATTTCTATTTAAAGTGTACATATTCCATTCCAATATATATATGCTCGTGGGTTTCACCGAAGTGGTAAACGTCTGAGACCTGCATCACTTCGGGCTTTCCTCCCACATTAAGCTGACACGCCGTGATATGTCTGGAATACTGTTAAAAGCGGCGTTAAACCCAACTCACTCACTCACTCACTCATGTAAATAATAACATGTAGACGTTACATATAGGACATATTGATAATTGTATTTCAGATACCTTTATGAACTTAGGATACAGCATTCCACACGATCATACGATGTCGTCGGAATCGTACAATATAAGTTGTAGCAGAATCACAAGGGGTACATGGGGTTTTATGCGTCCCGCCTTAGGTTTTATACCACGAGGCGAGTGGTATAAAACCAAACGAGGGAAGCATAAAAACCCTTACAACCGAGTGATCCTGCAACAACGAATTTATCTTACCGACATGTTTTAATATGACATTGTACATGTAAAAGAAGTAAAACAAATTCATAATTGATAGAAAAGAGCTGTTCGATTGAACTGAGTTTAACGTATGCTGTGTCACGTGACTTCCAGTGACTCGGAAAAAGCAAGCGGCTTTTTCTTCGAAGCGGGGTATAAGGGATTAATTCTGTCACTCAGAAATCCACGTGCAGCCTGTATTGCTCGTGGCGGGGTATAAGATATTTATTCTACCACTGAGAAATGTATTACCCTCCAGTATTTTATCAAAATCACGTGGGCCAATCTGATATCATCATTCTGGCATGGAGGTGTGATAATGGAGATTATGAATATTGAAACGGTGAATATTTATTTACACGAACCGCTGGACCTATTTATGAACGCATACCTCAGAAAATTCAATCATTTGGTACACATTCCATTGTACGAGAACTCGTGACGTATTCTGTATATAACAAATAGCATTTGATGACAAGACAATACAATTGTGTACAATAACACTGGTTTTACGTTTGAGTGAACATTTTTAATTAAAAAGAACTCTCAATTACGATACCTATTTTTGCCAAAATTGAAAATTAACGTTCGACATCGATCATTCAGTCAATTTATTTCAGTAATTATTTGGTCACAGGCCTTTGCGTACAAGCGTTATGGCACAGACGGAACTACAGTTGACCGTATTTATCCTTCCATATGCGCACAGTACAAATATTTTCCTAAATTTGTAATGGCTTTGGCAATGAATAATTTGTTGGGATAGTTGTGTTAAATGTATATATGCTGGACACACGAAAAGAAAGTGGAATTCATTTTCAAAGCATTTACTAAGTTTACATTTTCTTAACCTTCTAGGTGTATTGAAGTGACGCCTATGCGAAAACGAGAAAGAGCAATTTTGAATTTGCTTTGTTAGGAGGTTCAAATTGTTTTCACAATTTATAGAATCTTTAAATGTTCAATAGCAGGCCGTTGTTTGACTTTAAAGTAACTCACTGTTCCAAATGTGTTGGAAGTTTTCCTATAAACGTTTCTGAAACATATTGAGAAATAAACATATCCTAACCAACACAGACAATTTCTTAACTTTGTGACCCAATTTGCTCGACCTTGCTCATCATACAAGCACATATTGTCATAACATTTTTAGGATAAACAACACTGGGTCATTGTCAAAATATTTAACCAATATCTTGGCATAGCATGTGCCTGAATGGAGTATCTATCGCTCTCCCCTGACACTGCGGTGTTCCAGGCAGATCTTTTTAAATTCAAAAACCGTTTACAGAGATACAGATAAGCTGCGTATTTGCGTAAAATCCCAGAATCCAGAATCCAGAAACGCATGCATGCATGCGTAAAATAGCTCACGTAAATTCCCAATGAAGCTTTTCCAACAGCGAACAAATGAGCTAATTTCAGAAACACAATTACGAGCTAATTTACTTTCCGAGTCAAGCCTATATATTTAGGACAGTTATATACATCTAAAACATTATTTCATTTTTTTTAAATCTTAAAATGTTCACTAATTTTGGGGGGAAAACAATAGAGTGATGAATAGATGATTGAAAAAATATTGGTTACCCAATGAAACATGTAATAACCCAATTAAAATAGAAACCTGAAAGTAAAAACTCAATTGCTCAAAAGGTTATCTGGAGCTCTGGCTGTTAACATGCGTACACCTTTATCTTATCCAACGTTCTTCCTTTTCGAACACTCAAACTTCCGCACCATACAAGAGTAATGGCATTATCTTTGCATCAAAGCGCATTCTACATATATCTAGCCGTTTTCTGACCGGTGAAGATCCGGGGTAGGAAAGGTCTTCAGCAACCCATGCTTGCCGTAAAAGGCGACTTGGCTTGTCGTAAGAGACGACTAACGGTATCGGGTGGTCAGACTCGCTGACTTGGTTGATGCATGTCATCGTATCCCAATTGCGTAGATCGATGTTCATGATGTCAATCACTGGATGGTCTGGCCCAGACTCGATTATTTACAGACCTCCGTCATATAGCTGGAATATTGCTGAGTGTGGCGTTTAACTACAAACAAACAACAGAGTTTTCGTACAGAAATGGCAGAATCCAAAATGTGGAAAGCGCCTATTTGGGACACTATCGGGAGAACCCAGCAGTACACAACTATACTCGTCACACTCATACTCGCATGATATGTTGTGTCAAACCTCAACAAATATGAGTCTAATCAATTCCGAATCGAATCACTCGTCGGAAGTTGGAAAGATGTTTTACATGTAAATAAACGTTTTCCAATAGTCGTGAAATCACACGCTCCACAGTTTTCATAAATCAATGCTCCATGCATACAGTACCTGCCACTGAAGTGCAACTAAACACAAGGGACAAAGGAACAAAAGCTATTGTTCTAAAAGCTTCTCAGGAAGCCGATTCAGGTTGTCCAATATACACAACTTGAGCGATGAGACCTGTGAACATCCGGGGTAGAATAGGTCTTCAGCAACCTATGCTTGTGGTAAGAGGCGACTAACGGGATCGGGTGGTCAGGCTCGCTGATCTGTTTGATGCATGTCATCGGTCCCAATTGCGTGGATCGATGCTCATGATATTAATCACTGGATTGTCTGGTCCAGACTCGATTATTCACAGACCGCCGTTATATATTGGAATATTGCTGAGTGCGGCGTTAAACAAACAAACAAACAAACTTGAGCGATGAGTGGATAAGTAAGGTCAGCAAGATTCCAGTTGTATTCAGCAAAAGAAATGAGTTCAAACAAACAGGAGGCCCCAGCATCGGTCCTCGTGATCATTCACTTACTTGATTGGTGTTATTACAAATGGCGTGCTTTTACATGTAACGGTAACTGGTGCTGAAAAATCTAGAAACTTAATCAGGGCGAACCTGGATTCGAACCCACGATCTTAGGTTCTGTTACCGAGGGACGCAACTCTGCAGAGCGAACTGCGGCGTTAAACCCAATCCACCTGTATATGGCATAACATTGCAGAAAATAGTTCATAATTTTAAGTCTGTTAATAAAATATGATTAATTGAAATGAAATACGCATTTTCTGACTTTGTGAAAAGTGATAGATTTAACAAATGAACGATATGACAGGTTTATGGAACTAAAGTTTATTTTGACGTGGCTACGGTATGGCCGGTACACCTGACTGCTGTGTTGAAGGAGTTCGGGAACGGAGAACCTTGAAGCTGGACCTACCATGTTTACAGCTTACAATAAGCTGTAAACATGGTAAGCTGTAAGGGACTGCTGCAATTTAAACCTAGCAGCCCGAGAACAAATCTGTTGGCCTCGAGCCTACCGGTCGATGTCTATCTCGAAAACTGACAATGAGTCAATGATGGTACAAAGTAGCTTAAACGAAAGAAGACGTTTATTTTCTGTATGTTTCCAATAATGATTGTAGAAAAAAGGGAGAAAAACTCGCCGGGTCCAGATTTTACCTTTCCGAACCAACTGAAGTACCGTATTTCCTCTATTAGACGCCCGGGCTTTTAGTTATTTCGGACAAGCCTTTGACCCGGTGTCAATTAGTGGCCCGGCGTCTATTGGAGGCCCGGCTTCTATTAATACCCCCATTTCACTATGACCACGAATGTTCCGAATCGTGACGAAATGGAAATATTTTGTGTCCGTAGATATAGGTCCCAAAAAGGGATCATTAATTGTATCAATTGATCGACCCGGCCTCTATAAGAGGCCCGGCTTCTATTTTTTGCACTGAACAATTGACCCGGCTTCTATTAGAGGCCGGCGTCTTTAAGAGGACCGGCGTCTAATAGAGGAAATACGGTAGCCTGAGGCAACGTGCACAGTAGCTCACGTCAGCACAGCAGTGTCCTGTAACAGTGTTGTACACGAAGGTTTCGCTCGTCACGCGGAAAGAATCGTTTTATTCCCCACATGGGAACAATGTTTGAAGCTTATTTCTGGTGCCCCACTTCGGAATATTGCTAAAAGCGGCGTAAAACCATACTCACTCGCTCGTGCACGTG